GGGGGATAGAAGGGGGTGTGAGGATGGAAGGGTGTATATGGGGATGGATGGGTAATGGGTGTTTGAAGGGATGGATGGATGGATAGAGCATGTATGTGGGGATAGAGAGGGTTTTAATAGAGTAACTACCTCAGAATTACCTAATTGTGGAGTGATGAACTGGCCTGGGGCACAGGCCCCTCCTCACTGGCAGTCTGGGCACAGGTTGGCCAGCTAGGTGCCTCGGTATTTGCTGGGTATGGATAACATCCCAGAACACTTTCTGTTTGGGTTGTGTTTTTTCTCTCAGACATTTTGAACAGTGTTGTTCTGAGCTGTTAAACAGATAGACAGCCCCACCCACGAGGTGGCTGCATCTTTGTGCTGGCTGAGGGATCCCTGTATAAACAGCCCCTGCGCGTCCCATCCCCACTCCCGCCTCCGTCCAGAGACAGCTGCATTTCAGCATTGGGTGAGGGATCCCTGTATAAACAGCTGCTGTGCCCCACCCCAGAAGATGCTGCATATTAGTGGTGGGTGAGGGAGCCTGGAATAAAGAGTTACCTACTGCTAGGGTGGCTGCATTTCAGTGATCTCTGTCCACACAGCTTGCAAAGCCTTTGCGATTCTGTAGGATGAAAGAGACTGTAGAAATGGGGAGGCATTGTTATTAGAACTACGAGCTCCAACGTTAGTATTTTTAGCTCAATGACTATGCACAGAGCGCAGGCATTGGATATTTCTCTTGTTTAGGGTTCTTTGCCAGGCTGTTTAAAAAGGCAAAGAGACAGTCGGAAGCTAGATCCCTGACCCGCACTGACGATAGCACTTTTCGTAGATTCCAAGGCCAGACGGGATCACTGTGATCACCTAGACTGACACAGGCCAGGGATCTTCCCCTAAATAGTTCCTAGGGCAGAGCTTTTAGAAAAAAGATCCAATCTTGATTTAAAAATGGCCAGTGATGGAGAATCCACCGCAACCCTTGGTCAGTCGTTCCAATGGTTAATTACCCTCAATGGTAAAAATATATGCTTCATATCTAATCTGAATTTGTCTAGCTTCAGCTCCCAGCCATTGGATTGTGTTAGATCTTTCTCTGCTAGACTAAAGAGCCCATTATTAAATATTCGTTTCCCATGTAGGTACTTATAGACTGTGATCAAGTCACCTCTTAACCTCTGTGTTAGGCTAAATAGATTGAGCTCCTTGAGTCTCTCACTATAAGGCAGGTTTTTTAATCCTTTAATCATTCTTGTGGCTCTTTTCTGATCCCTCTCCAATTTATCAACATCCTTCTTGAATAGGGGACACCAG